AATTTTAGTCCTGCGGTTACCCTTCCACCACAAGTACCTGCTGATCTCCTCTCCACTATGTCTTAATTGATGAGTGTACTGATAATACAAGACAGTTCTTCTCGCAGGCTAAGTGCACTATCTTTGAAGAGATGCCTCCTTTTGCAACTCAGGTTGGTAACGCCCAACCCAGCAAACCACTTAAGATAGTGTATAATTAATTTTAAAGACAAGTTGTTCCACTCACATATTTAGTTAAGCACGTGCTTATATATTCTGCTGCACTGGGGACTAACACCAGGATCTAGAATCATGAAAGGGTCTCTTGCCTTGCAATGTAGAACACTTACCACAAGGTGGCAATCCAAGCCATCTTAAATTTGCTCACTGGGAGCTTTCCCATTTTAGTTTCCCATTTTAGTAAGGTAATTAATGGAGTTCTCTGTATAGCTACCTGTATTCTTTGTCACTTGTTCCAGAGCCAGATGTTAAACTTCAGTAGCATGGCACCGGATTTGGACCGTCTGAACGAGCTGGGCTACAGGCTACCCTTGAATGATAAAGAAATCAAAAGAATGCAGAATCTGAACAGGCGGTGGTCCATAATCTCATCTCAGACAACAGAAAGATTCAGGTTGGGTCAGCTGGAAGCACATATATTACTTTCTATTAGTCATTGTGATAGAAATGACTGGAAAAGGCAGTTCAGTACATGGCATGTAAAACTTTGGCTATGCATGCACTAGATGAATTTGGCTGGAATAGAAAAACCAATAGAGCTATTATATTGCCAAAAGCTTCTTGTGTGAATCTAGTTTTAGTAGTGTTAAATGTCTTACAATTTTTTCTGAAATCAACATAAACTATGCTAATAAAATACAGTTATTCCAGCGTCACTGTATGTGTACCAGGGTTTGTATTGGCATATTTATTAGGTAAAAAAGAAATCACATCCCCAACCAATATGGCCATGTCACTAAAGCTTTAATGTAGATAGTCAGTCATTTTTATGTTACTGAGAGTATTCTCCTTTGAGATCACAGGTAGGTTATGTTCAACACTCAAAAGTTTTGTCAACACAGTTACATAAATTAGGAGTATGAAAAGATCAGTCTCATAAATAATATATGTGGGCAAAAGCTCTACTGTAGCACCAATTCCCCTAGCAAAAAACCCAGTTAGCATAGACACAGTAATCCTATTTTGGGTGTTCAGTTCAGGGACCTGGTTTGTTAGATCATCCGAAGAACTTCTATTTTTTTTTTTTTACCAGTTTAAGCTATGTCTCCACTAGCAGTGGGTATTGTTATAGCACTGATGGTAAATCTCTACTAGCAAACCCTTGTAAGGGTACGTCTAGACTACATGGCTACGTCTACACTGGCCCCTTCTCCGGAAGAGGCATGCTAATTTTGAACTTTGGAATAGGGAAATCCGCGGGGGATTTAAATATCCCAAAGAGCGTCTAGACTGGCGCGATCCTCCGGAATAAAGCCCTTTTCCGGAGGATCTCTTATTCCTACTTTTCCCAAAGCCGGAAAAAAAGCGGCGGCCATGTTTATTTAAATCCCGCGGGGGATATTTAAATCCCCCGCGGATTTCCCTATTCTGACTTGCCTGCTTTGCATGCCTATTCCGTCTTATGTGGCCAGTCTAGACGTAGCCCATGCGTCTTTCGAAAGAGATCATCTAGACAGCCACGATTGACTTTTTCAAATGAGAGCACCCAGGCAATCTCGATGCTCTCTTTTGAAAAAGCCCTGTTGGCAGTCAAGAATGCCTTTTTTCGAAAGAACTCTTTTGAAAAAAGGTGTTCTGCCTTGTAAAATGAGGTTTATCGCTGTCAAAAAAACTGCCGCTTTCTTTTGATTTAATTTCAAAAGAATGTGGCAGCAGTCTAGAGACTCTATATACTGAGAGAAAAGACAAAGGGATTTCTGCCAAGAGAAATGTAATGGTGACTGTTTATGAACACGAGATGGCATTTTAAATTATAGTACTTTTTGTTTATATGTAATTTCAATAAATGAACAAAAAGATAGGACAACAAGAGGGTTCCACATCAGTCTCCTAGGATAAGTCAGCATGTGCATTTGTGATGAAAAAGTTATTGCAACCAGAATTGTAAAGGCTCCCTGAAAAATCACTGTCATCCTGTGTGAGCTGGAGGCATTAATGAATCAATCTTTCATCCTTTTAGTAAACTACAGTCTTTTTTACTGCAACACCAGACCTTTTTGGAGAAATGTGAGAGTTGGATGGAATTTCTGGTTCAGACTGAGCAGAAACTGGCTGCAGAGATTTCAGGAAACTACCAGAGTTTGTTGGAGCAACAGAGAGCACACGAGGCAAGTTATAACAAACGGACTTTATGTGGAGACATTTTACTGTACCCTACAGTAAGCTACCTCTCCCCTATCCTCACTGAGAATATGGTACCTAAGTAAACTAAAGCCTGTGGGTGTATAAACATATAGACCAGTGCAAGCTGTGGCCCAAGTATATTTTCTGTATTTAAAATCATAATGTTTTCAAGTATCCTGTAATTTCCTAGGTTTGTTACTTCCATTTGGCATGCTGCTGTTCTCACCTGCAGTGTTTACTGCATCAGTTCCTAGTTTAGCTGCTGTTTATGGAGCCCCGTTCCTGATCTTCCTGCCTGAGCAAGCAGCGTTGAACCTCTGTGCGGGTCTCACAACATAGCTACTCGGCCGCTCAGCCACACGGTTTAGAGGGAACTTTGCTGAGCACCCCTGTCAAAGAGGGTTATCTGCAATGTAAAATTGTCTTACAATATCGTTTCATTTGTACAAGTTTTTGGTCCAGAAATTGTGCATGCAGATATCCACCTTCATAAAGTAAAGAGCTATAACATATTTTATATGTAAAAACATTTCAGAAAATGAAGTCTTGACAAATACTCCCAAGCCACAAGATTCTAAATGCCTAATGCAGCTGTGCTTAAAACATGCTGTCAATCACGATATTGTTCCCAAAGGATGCCTAGAACCTCGTTTCTGATTAACTTGTTTAGCCTTTATGTACCTAAAAAAATTCCATATGTGGAAAGAATAGTTACTCCCTCCTCCTCCTTGTCAAGACTGTGTGTTTAATCCCTTTCTCATTGAAGTTGGTATCAAAACTCCCATGGAGCTCACCTGATACAAGATTAAGCCTTAAGTAAATTAAATGTGAAGTAATCGTTTGCCAGTGACAGCAAAAGAAGTGAAAGCCTGTGAGACCTTTGTTTTGAAACCATTTCTGTCTCTTCTATAATAGCTGTTCCAGGCAGAGATGTTCAGTCGCCAGCAGATTTTACATTCAATCATCGCTGATGGACAGCACCTACTAGAGCAAGGACAAGTGGATGACAGGTAGACACTCCTGTTCTTGTTGTTTGTGTAGTAACATGTGCTGTGTGCTAAGTAATTGCCAGATAAAAAGAAGGCATATGGTGACTCCATCAAGAACAGGCAGGAGATAGGTGGAAATCCCAGACGTAAGTGAAGCGGCCAAAGTACTGACTGAACATATTTTGGTAATAAAATGCTGTGTCAGCACAATACTTGTTTTTTTGTTTTTTGTTTTTAATGTAAATTAACTCCTCCAACTTGCCATTTTGGGGAACACAGCAGCTCCAAGGCTGTGTCTGCATGCCTGACAACCTTACACCATGACATGCCTCCAGAGCGGCCAGTAGTGGGTGGAATACAGCTATCTACACCTGTTTTATGTCATTTGGGGATTATGCTATGCCAGAAGAACCCCCACTGACTCCTTATATCAGGTTTCTACTCTCTTTGCTCCACTTTGCACAAATGAGATGGAGTGAGAACCAGCATATGGCCTGGAGCGTTTAATATTTAAAAATCAATGAACACCACTAATGCATATGGAATGCTTTTGCTCAAGAGATGTCAGCCCTTATCCAAACTGTACTATATATCAGGACTATCCATAAATTTCTCCCCTAGTACAAATGTTAATGTTTGTTCCCTACTTTGAGATCAGAGTAGGTGTCTTTCATACCTAGATTTGTCTGAGAGGATTGTGAACTTTCATTGAGTTTGAAATTTTTGCAAAAATAATTGGCAGTTTTGATTTAAATATTTTCCATGACAAGAGAATTGTAGCCTTTGGGTTATGGCTATTGACCTGAAATGTGGTAGTTTTTAAATCCCTGTTGAATGTTAGCTGCCATGTAAAATACTTCATAGATAACTACCAGGAAACATATATTTTTCAGCTTTTCATTTATTAGAGAAATGGATCAAAGATACAGTTTCTTAACCTGTGTTTGTATTGTTTGTTCTTGAAAAGGGATGAGTTTAATCTGAAACTGACACTACTCAGTAATCAATGGCAAGGAGTGATTCGCAGGGCACAGCAGAGGAGGGGAATCATTGACAGTCAAATCCGCCAATGGCAGCGTTACAGGGAGATGGCAGAGAAACTACGCAAATGGCTGGTGGAAGTGTCTTATCAGCCAGTGAGTGGACTCGGTGGCATTCCTATTCCTCTGCAGCAAGCCAGAGCCCTTCTGGATGAAGTGCAGGTATGTCCAGTATGTTAAACTCTTGTGTAGTCCTTTTCTTGTACGCTTAGTTTAATGTGTTGTTGAAAGATGCTTTGTTTATCTTAAAAGTGTGCTAGAACCAAATTAACTACAGTAGCCAAAGCTCAGATTGGACACAGTTGTTTTTCAGAAAGAATGAAGGTGGGATTTATAGATCTAAAGAAATCCCAGTGGCCTAGTGCTTAACAAAAACTGCACAAGCAACAGCTGAGGGAGTTCCTTGCACCCGGTTACTTTAAGAGCCTGTTTATTTCCATGTGTCACAACTGACTGCCCAGTGAAATTTGTATGTGCTCTTATATGTTTGCTTTTAATTAGTTGTTTATTTATTAATGGAGATTGCGTATCTCCTAGAACTGGAAGGGACCTTGAAAGGTCATTGAGTCTAGTCCCCTGCCTTCATAGCAGGACCAAGTACCATCCCTGACAAATTTTTGCCTCAAATCCCTAAATGGCCTCCGCAAGGATTGAACTCACAACCCTGGGTTTAGCAGGCCACTGCACTATCCCTCCCCCCTTAAACACACACCATATCTAAGACAATGTTTGGAAAACCTTGAGCTCTCATGCAGTCCATCATGGTGCAAAATCAGACATACCCACTCATTGGCTTGGAATCTTCATGACTGGAAATAGCAGTGCTCATGACACAAGTGCCTGCTGTGCTCTTCACAGGAGAAGTCAGAAAAGTGGAGCTTCTCCACTGCAGAGTTTCTGCCCTACTCAGATGGAGGAGAAGTGAGCAAAAGTCAGTTTTATCATTCCTACCACCCTCAAAATCTGTGTATGCTTTGGGGATGAAGAGAGGAATCCTGTCTTTTTCCTACTGCTTGAATTGTAAAATGGCGGTGTTATATATTTGGGTAGGAGCCCATTGTGTCTAAGCTAAGGTCTCTCAGGTAGCAATGAAAAATACATTTTACCAGCCCTGGCTTACACATGATTCACTGCAACTAAAACCAAGATGCTAACAGATCATTGCTCTTTGCAGCTGAAAGAGAAAGTTCTCCTACGGCAACAAGGGAGCTACATTTTAACTGTGGAAGCTGGGAAGCAGCTCCTGCTCTCTGCTGATAGTGGAGCTGAAGCAACCCTGCAGACGGAACTCACGGAAATTCAGGAGCACTGGAAATTAGCCACCATGCATCTTGAGGAACAGAAGAAACAACTTGCCTTTCTACTGAAAGTAAGTGAATGAGTAGGCACAAAACCACATGTAATAACTATTATGCCATAGTGAAGAAGTATAATCAAGAGGAATGGTCTGGCATCAGGAATTCCTGTGTTATGTCTTGCTTTGCCACTGTATAAATGTGGGCAAGTCATTTAACTCCACTGCCTCCTTTTTCCTATCTAGAAAATAGAATTAATAATAGTTCCCTATCTTATGTGACTATTGTGAATATTCACTAGTTTGTGTTTGCAAAATGCATGCTAAATCCACTATATGTACTCAACATGACAGGCGGGAGTTTAGCCACATCTCTTACATGAATGGAACAAGGTATGTAATTAAATCCCCATGGCGGCTGATGCTTTTTTCCTAACTCCGACTTAGACACAAAAATCCAAATTCATTTTATGAATAATTTCAATGGTTTAAAAGAATTATACCAGAATTTTGTGTGTCTCTACCAGTCAGAGTTTCTTTGAGTGCTGCTTCTATATTTCCCACTGGGAGCAGACATGCACTCTGTGTACCTGAGAGCGGAGAACTCTTGCAAGTATTGTTTGTTGGTTCATGCCTTGCACTCTTGCTCTACTCATGCTCTACACCAAGGATATTAGGGGCAGGTGGAAAGATAGCTTTTTCAGTTCCTCTTATCACTGCCTGGCCTGAGTTTCAAACTACAGTGTCAAGAGCTTCTCCTTTCTCTTCAGCCTGATCTTTGTTTTCAAACTTGTAAATATTTCAGTTTTATTTTTATTTTTAGTGTAGCTAGAGTTAATAGTTCTGCTAGTATAGTTACTGGATAACTAGACTCCTGCCCACAAAAAACCCTTCCAGCTTCCCAGCACAGAAATTAGATTATATCCAGAATACAACACTATAAATGCTACAATCTCCTGTCTGCACTTCTTCTGTGTCAGAGATGACCACCAGTGCTGCCAGGATTACCTTGGAGAAGTGCATATCTCCTCCATGTGCAGTATGTGTTGCTCCTTCCACAGCCAGACTTAATAGGCATGACAATCCTGGCTAAGAAGAATATCATGACTGTGACTCAGTCATCCCCAGGTCATGGGAACCCTTCTTATATCAGGTAGAATCATCAAAGAGCACACCACCTACCATGAGGCCTGATGCAGGAGGAGCAAGACAGAACACACCTAGGACCCCTCCTTCAGGGTTTTCTCAGGACAACAGGGAACCCTTTCATAAGCACTCAAACAAATCCACCTTTAAGTCCAGGTCTGACAAATCCCTCCCTAACCACGGTGGGCAAGTCTTCACATCTAGCCCCAAAAAACTTGTGACCTACTAAATCCAAGGACTGTGGTTAAAAAAAAACACACCAG